GTCAAGGCTGTATATTGTCACCCTGCTTATTTAACTTATATGCAGAGTACATCATGAGAAATGCTGGGCTGGATGAAGCACAAGCTGGAATCGAGATTGCTGGGAGAAAGATCAATAACCTCAGATATGCAGATGACACCACCCTTTATGGCAGAAAATGATGAAGAACTAAAGAGCCTCTTGATGAAAGTGAAAGAGGAGAGTGGAAAAAGTTAGCTTAAAGCTCAACATTCAGAAAACCAAGATCATGGCAACTGGTCCCATCACTTAATGGCAAATAGATGGGGAAGCAGTGGAAACAGTGTCAGACTTTATTTTGGGGGGCTCCAAAATCACTGCAGATGGTGACCACAGCCATGAAATTAAAAGACACGCCTTGGGAGAAAAGTTATGACCAACCTATATAGCATATTAAAAAAGAGACATTACTTTGCCAACAAAGGTCCACCTAGTCAAGGCTATGGTTTTTCCAGTGATCATGTATGGATGTGAGAGTTGGACTGTGAAGAAAGCTGAGCGCCGAAGAATTGATGCTTTTGAACTGTGGTGTTGGAGAAGACTCTTGAGAGTTCCTTGGACTGCAAGGGGATCCAACCAGTCCATACTAAAGGAAATCAGTCCTGAATATTCATTGGAAGGACTGATGTTGAAGCTGAAACTCCAATACTTCAGCGACCTGATGGAAAGAACTGACTCATCTGAAAAGACCCTGATGCTGGGAATGATTGAAGGCAGGAGGAGAAGGGGACCACAGAGGATGAGATGGTTGGATGGCATCACCAACGTGATGGACTTGAGTCTGAGTAAGTTCCAGGAGTTGGTGATGGACAGGGAGGCCTAGCATGGTGCCGTCTATGGGGTCGCAAAGAGTCAGACACGACTGAGCAACGGAACTGAACTGAACTGATATCACCAAAACTAGGATCTAATAGAAAAACCTGTAATCAGTTTTTAAAATCCAGATGCATATCAGAATTATCTTGAAATCTTTTTGAAAAATACAAATGCTCAGGTATTGCTTTGTTTCTCCAGAGTTCCAAATATGTTTCTAATGAGCAGTCATGTTTAAAAACAACTGGATTATATGATGATCTTTTACTTTTATCTAGTTTGTTTCACTTTTTCCAGTTCATATCCAGTGCTCCAATTTCTTTTAATGTTCTCCAATTTCTCCATATCTTCATTTTTTTAATGTTCTTTCTCAAGTGTAGTAGAAAAGTTTTTGTATACATACATATATATATAAATGTATAATATGTATGTTAGAAAACTTATTAATTTTTTTCCTAACTAAAAAAATTATGATATTTTGATTCCACTTGTTTGACTTAGTATGAATAGAATGCTAGATTTATAACTAAAAAAATATATATCCAACAAGAGACAAAGGTTTACTATATACCACAGGGAACTATAGTCAATATCTTGCAATAATCTATGATGAAAAATAATTTCAAAAATAATGTGTGTGTATTTGCATAACTGCACCACCTTACTGTGCATCTGAAACATTGTAAGTCAACTGTACTTCATTGAAAGATATATATTTAAAAAAAAATGAGACAATAGTAACTTGACAATTGTGACACAACCACTCAGGTATTTAGCTGATATCCTAATGACCTCTATGTATCTTAGAAGCCAAGAGACCTTAAGACTTCAAAAACTCTGCTCATGCCCATTCCAGAATCAGCTGAAAGAGAAATCTTGAACTGGTACCAAAGGAACATCAGAAATGAACAGTAAAAATTGGCAGCTTCCTGAACAAACAAGTCTTCATCACACAGTTTTAACTCTATATGAAGTAAATTCATCTAATTAGTGGCTACATCTATGTTTGAATACAGGGCCTATTTCAAAGCAAAGCAAACTGTAAAAAATTATGAATTATGTTGGATTATCCACGTGTCATATTTCATTCATCTGTGCAGATAGTCTGAATCTGATCATCATTGAGGAAAATGATTATAGAACATGGATGCTATATACCTGCAAAGGGGCTAGTCTCCTTCCTCATAGATGTCATATCCTTGGAAGGAATGAATAAGTAAATGAGCCCCAAGGAGCTGATTAATGGGCATCCCTTCCAGAGTGATTCATATGCCACCCCTGCCTGTGTGACCATTATGGATTTATTAACATTAAAGCAATGCTATTCAAACAGGTATCAAAACATTTTCATGTGATGGAACACCAGGTGAAATATTACTGCAACCTCTCAGCAGACTGAAACAAGCTGAGATAATTGCCCTGCTAAGGAGAACAGACTCAACCTCCAGATGCCACTTAAGGCCCTGAGTTCTGTCTTCTAGAATTTCTTTACTTGATGAAATAATGGCCTGATGTTATGCTCAGAATCAGCCCCCCTCATATTGTGATACCCAATGGATACCACTAATTGCAACCCTTCTGCTCCAAAACATCTTCCAAGACTTAATTACAGAATAAGTGAGGGAGCTCTGGCTGAGGAGTTCCTGTCATTTCCTGGGTACCTCCAGCTACATTCCTGGTTCACTGAGGGCAGGGTAATGGTGGAGGGTGGACAGTAACAGAGTGGAGACCAGAGCCCTCTCTCTCCAAAGAGTAAAGAGCAGGAATGAGGTAATTATTTGAGAAAAGATATCATGCACATGAGCATCAAATAAAGATTACCAAACAAAAGTGAAGCCATGTTTAGAAAATGTACCAAAACCCTTCCTTGACATTTTTATTCAGAACTATTTTCATTTCTGAAAATAAAAATTAATTTCCTACTTTCTGAATTTAGCTATCTTTTCCTCATATACTATTTCCCATCCCCCATAGGTCTTCAAATGTTTTTCTATAGGACAGAAAGAAATAGAGCAATGCCTGCCTTCAGCAAGCTCATCACCATGCTGGGGATCCCATGATTGTTCATGTGAGAAGTAAGCTGACCTTCCAAGGCAGAGGATGGTCACCACAAAGTCATTTTCAGAAAGTCACACTCTGAAGGTGATAGTGTGCTTATGAACTGGGGGAACAAGAGCAAAGGAGTGACAAAGTCTAGCAGGTAAGAACATTTTATTTGATTATAATCACACACTATTTCTCCATGTTTACTATCAAGGGTGTTAGATGCTCAGTCATGTCCAGCTCTCCTTGACCTCACAGACTGTAGCCTGCCAGTGTCCTCTGTCCATGGGAATCTCCAGGCAAAAATACTGAGTGGATAGCCATTCCTTTCTCCAGAAGATCTTCCTGACCCAGGGACTGAACCTGGGTCTCTTGCATTGCAGGCAGATTCTTTACCATCTGAGCCAGCAGGGAAGCCCAGGCCACCTACTAAATGCTCCTGAGGATAGATCTGTGACCTTAAGAAGGATACTGGGTTATTTTAAACCATAAGATCTTTCCTCATGCTTATTTAGTTCTATATGCTGTAGGGGCCTGGTGGATGGCCAAGTTATTATACTAAGTCTCTTTCTTTCTCTCTCTCTTTTTTTTTTTTTTACTCTAACCATGCCCCTTGGTCTGATTCCTGAGCATTTCCACCCTCAGACCTTTTCTTTCCCAGTCGGTCCCCATGAACCAGAAAAATGTCTTTGCCCTCTTTAAACACACTGACTGGTCTGGAGGCTCTTACTCAAGCTCCGTACCCCCAACCAACAGCACTGCCATCCTATTGTGGTTTCCTGAAACATTTGTCATTTTGTCACTTAATCATTTACTAAATTTGTTGTTATTCCATTTCTCCATGCCACCATGTACTGCACCTTTGATGAGATCTTAAGATGCCTGAGGACAGCAAATTGAAAACTCCTGACTAGGTTTCAGTTCTTGGTAATGAACCAAGCAAAATATGAAGATGTGCCAAGAGCAGTGGCTCAGCTTGGAGCTTATGTGGGATCCCAAGGAATGGGGAGAACTAGAGGAGAGAAAATAGGCCAGTGGGCAGCAGTGATTTCAGGGCCAGCTCTGTGTCTTGGAAAGTCACTGGAGTTCCAGGTCATGCTTAAAGACAACTTTACCATGGTGCTAAGAGATGCTTCTCACGGACAGGGGATCAATTTAGGAGCACATTTCTTAAGTGAAATGAACCAACCTCTGTGGATCTAAAGCTGCAGAAGTCAAAAGGTAACCCCTCTGCTCCATTATGCATTAGTTTAATACTTTATTCCCCCCTGCTCTTCCCCTCAAACTGCAGAAAAGCATCTATTCAAGAGAAGTGGGAAGAAGCAAAGAACCCCAAAAGAGGGAATCAAAGAAGAACAGTAGAGAACTTGAAGGTTTGCCGATTTTACAACTTGGCCAGGACAGACACTGTCCTGCAGATCTGGTCCTCTTGGAGGGGATGAGTCAAGAAACAGTGTTCAGTTCTGGTTCTACCTTTCCTCTTCAACAGATCCACATCCAAAGAACTTCTTCAAGAATTCAAACTAGCTGAAAACTTTCATCGTTCCAGTTTTGTATATCCCTATTATACTCATAAATTACAGAAAAGAGAAAACCACAAACATAGAAGCTCCAAGTAAAATAACACAAAATAAAGCAAAGTATCAGCCATTACCACCATGACAATAAAACTTTCATAGATAGAATCCCAGCGAAGTCCCAATTTAGTTGCAGATCTTCTTCACAAGTTACAGGAAGATAGGAAGTTAGACTTAAGCATTTTAGAAAGATTCTCATACCTAAAATTGTAAAGCCATCATCTGCTTAAATACAACAATCAGAAAATTCAATTAACCAGAATACTCATTCCTCACACATGTTGGTTCCTTGGGGTTTTAACTGCCTCCAACATATACAACATTAAGTGTGTCTAATTTTCAAAGCAGAACATATAATTATTCCTTTTTGTCAATGAAAATCTTGGGTGGAAATAATCACCAATGTGAACTTTGCCATTCCAGGTTGTTAAATTCAAATGAATATAAATGCTGTTCTCTGTAAATTATCTCTCTAATTTGAGGCATAAATGGGCTTTTTGCCCTCACCTTCAAGGCTTGCCTTCAATATTCTGTGAAAGACAAATTACATTATTATCTTAGGAAAGTCTGCTGAAAATTATTGAATTTTCAGTTCTAGAAGCTAAAGATATTTCTTGTTTGACACAGTATATCAATACTTGTCACTGATACAGAGATTGGATTTTTAAGGCATTTGAGGAACAAAAGAAACAAATTTTACCCTGGCATTCATTTTAAAAACAAAACATCTAAATAAATCAGATCTGGCTAGCAAGATACCTGGAGCCTTGACTGGGTTTAATTACACATAGAGTGGGCAAAGCTGCAGTTATAATCAAGAAGCAGACAGCAGTACCACTCAAATCATCTCAACACTGACACGTCACAGGTAGTTGAGTCTCAAACACATTCAGGGTTTAAGTCACAGCTGATGAACTGCACGGAAGCCACCAGAGGACTTTGCTGATGATGAACACTTAAAGCAGCTTTCTTCTAGATTTGGTTTCCCTGTTACTGTTGCTTTTTAATGGCAGAATAGGAATTAAGATGAGCACTCACAATGATAGTGGAAACACACTTATGGTTTATTAAGTGCTGATCCCATGCTGAGCACAATGTTCACTCCTGCATATTCATTTCATGGATTGATTCATTTGTTTAAAACTCAGAGCCTTCTGAGTTTGCTATGCTGTTTATTTCACAGATGAGGAAACTGAGTCCTAGAAGAATTAAGCCACTTGCCTAAGGTTAAGAGGATAGTTCATGTGACAGAAGAAGTATTTGAATCAGTAAATGAGAAAAGCATCATAGGAAAGAAAAGGGGGGGGGCTAATGGAATTCAGCAGAATACTTAAATTCTGTTGACTATCATTCCTTTCTTTCCTTCAAGTTGAGTATCAGGCAACTGTAGGTACTCATCTGTCATCCCCAAATTCAGGAGGCTGAAAAATACACTTTTTCTTCTGCTCACACTACTCAGTAGTGACAGTAACAGCAAATACTTATAAAGCTCTAATTCTCTGCCAGGCTCCTTTGTTAGCACTTTATGATTACTATCTGCTTTTACAAGGGCAGAAACTGAGGCATGGTTAATGCACTAATTTGGTTAATTTGTCCACTGTCACGTGGCTAGTAAGTGGAAGAGTGGGGATTTTAAGTGGGAATAATTTGGCTCCAAGGTCTGTTTTCTTAGCCACCATGTGCATGCTAAAGTCGCTTCAGTTGCACTGGACTCTGTGTGACCCAATCGACCATAGCCTGCCAGGCTCCTCTATCCATGGGATTCTCCAGGCAAGAATACTGGAATGGGTTGCTGTGCCCTCCTATACAGGGGATCTTCCTAACCCAGGGATCGAACCTGTGTGTCTCATGTCTCCTGCATTGCCAGGTGGATTCTTTACCACAACCACCACCTGGGAAACCCCATGAATTTAATATCCAATTTCAAATCTGTCAGTTGCTGGGGATAGGAACAGGAGGACAAAACTTGAAATCTTCTCTGTCCTCATTAACATTTCAACAGAGGCAGGTAGGTCTCTGCTTCCAACCAATTTACATAAGATGGAATCACCAGGAGACCTAGTGGGGCATCCTGCTGTCACTGAGGTGTCTCCTGGACACCCTCGGAGTCCAGGATGGATCTTTGATTTGACTCTGCTTCCAGAGAGGAACATAGAAATATATAAGGAGGAAATCAGGCCCAGAGGGGTTAACCCTCTAAAACTCTCAAAAGCAGGCAGATCTCAGTCACTAACTCCAATTTTGAAGTGTTTTCCATGAAAGAGGGAGCTGTACTTCCATCTTAAAGCCAAGAGCTAGCTAAGAGCCTAGGAACACACATTGGGAATAAACCCAACATCATTGCATCCTCCAAAACATTTATATTTTGGGTTTTTTTTTAATGTATTTTTAAGTTTTCAAGGGTTTCTTAGAGGAATATTTTTCCATCACTGCATGGCTGGATTTAACAGGTATCACAATCACTTCAAGCAGGCTGGCTTCTTTGGCCCACAGTAGTAATGAAAGTATTATGTTTATCCAACACGCTAGGAAAATGTCAACCTACTAGACCTTAGGCAAACAATGATGTACAGTTAGAGACAAAAGTTATTCCCATAGCTAAATCTTTGGAACAAGTTATCCAGGGAAGATAATTTTAATATTCAAGACAATAAAACCTACAATAGTCACTTTTATAAAATATGTATTTGGAGTTTTATTGTCTCATTGGGCTTTCCTGGTGGCTCAGATGGTACAGAATCTGCCTGCAGTGCAGGAGACCTGGGTTCAATCCCTGGGTTGGGAAGATCCCCTGGAGAAGGAATGGTAACCCACTCCAGGATTCTTGTCTGGGAAATTCCAAGGAGAGAAGAGTCTAGTGGGCTATAATCCATGGGGTTGCAAAGAGTTGGATATGACTGAGCAACTAACACTTTCTGCACTTATGAACTTCAGATATGTAACATTTTATACAGAGAAACTTTCTTGAACATATGACTTTATCTGAGGCCTAGGCACACTAAATGATTTTTCATCCCCTACGGTCACTGAAATAATTAGGCCAGTTACATATGTCTTTTTAAAAAATACACTAAATGTTTGAACATTAGACTCCAAATTCTGTGGGTAAGTTACTTTTCTCATTGTGCCTTAGTGCCCTTTGCAAATACTATAAGAACGACATACACTCAAGTACAGGAGAATGCAGAGAAAAGAAATGAAGGCTTTTGCAGGTAACAGTATTTGAAAAGGCATCACAAAGTGTTTGTTAATTTCTTCTTTCTTTAAAGTAATTTTTATTTTTTTCCTATAGCTATATGTTTGAAGTTGAAAATTTGAAAAAAATCAAATACTACATAAATATTATCTTCGTTAAAAAAAAACTCAAGCAACACATAAGCATGTAAAATAAATAATAAAAGTTCTTTTCAGCAAAAAAAAAAAAGTATTTAAAATTTTCAAAGGATTACTTCATGTTAAAGAAAAACATAGGACTTTCCCAGTGGTCCAGTGGTTAAGAATCTGCCTTCCAATGCAGGGGACATGAGTTTGATTCCTAGTCAGGAAACTAAGACCCTCTGTGCGGGGGGACAACTAAGGCCACAGGCCACAACTAGAGAAAGCCCACAGTCTCAACAAAGACCCAGTGCAGCCAACAATAAAAAATAAAAACAAAAAATATAGGTGCAGAGTTCTTAGCATAGTGTCAAGCACAGAGTAGGGCTAATGTACCTACGTGCACACACAGGTATCTATATAATTCATACAGAATAGTAACACAAAGAAAGCTAAATCTATTCTTTATCTGATGGACCCACTTAATCTGTGATTCGTAAATGGGCAACATAGAGCTTAAAAGTCAACTGCTATATATTCAAACAGACACAGTACATAGGCTTCTGGCTGCCGCAGTGATGTTGCTGATGATGCTGGCATTATTCTAAGTTCCTGCCTGTACCTTTTGATGGGAGGACTAGAAGTATCCTATTTTGCAAATAAGGAAACAGAGACATGGAGTGTTCAATGACTTGCTATGGCCATACATCTGATGTACACGGCAGCTTAGGTTGGAACCCACATGGTCTAATTCCACAGCAAGCGCTCTTAACCTTTACAAAAGGCAATGCTCCTCTGACCTGCTCATAATCCAGTTCCCTGGGTGACACATAACAAGCTGCTCAAAGGAAAACTAAGGAAGTCTGTCCTTTTGTCAGCTCCCAGGAGTCAGGAAGTGATGAGTCTCATGCAGCAAGGCTGACCTGACTTCCTTCAAGCCAGGGTTGTTTTGAAATTGGGATAGGATAACTGGATCTAAGACCATGAAGTATTTTGGGCACATAGAAACTATGTGACTCTAAATCTGAAGTAACTTTAAAAACAACCTAAGAGTGACTACATCATGGCATGTGCCACATTTCTCACTTACAGCGACTCATCTCCAAGTGCTTCCAAGGGGACACTGACTGCTTTCTACCTTTTGACATGGTTGTGGTAGAAGTATTATTTCAAAACTGTTAAAAAGAGTGCATGTTGAAACAAGTGCCATATAACATCCCTACTATGATGAGTAGAGAAAAGGACATAAAAAGGTTATTTATTTATTAGTATCGTTCATGGTCTTAAACCAGGCAAATCAGTGAGACGCTACATACATGGAATTTGTCGCTTCTGTTCATTGAGGTTACTGTGTGTCAACGTTATCTTTAATCTTCAAAGTTATTTTTATTCCTTACAGTCACTTGATGAGGTAAATATTATTACTTCTCATTTACAGATTAAAACAGAAAGCTGCCGGAGGTTACATAACTTGCTCAAGGTCATGTCAAGAAGCAGAGGCGGGGCTTGAACCCAGTTCTGCCAGAATTCAAAACCTGCACATTCTCCTTCTATCACATCAAACTGCTTCAGTGAGATGTCAGAAAATTAAGAGAGCTAGCCAGCTTGAGATGATGGGGATCATAGAAACAGGAAGTCTGATTCTCATGTGTGGACCACTTACAGATAATTTTGCCCCAGGAGAGGCTGCTCATCCTGACGACAGAATGGAAAACACAGAGCTCATACCCTAATGATCCAGCCAGTGCTGGGCTCGATTTTCTTGGGGAATCATGGCCTTGAATTTTGGAAGAGTAACAACTTACAGTGCAGGAAGAAATGAGACACGAAACAGCACATGACTCTTCAGTTGACTTTCCAGGAAGTACTCCTGGCCTACTCCCACCCCCAACAACTTCCACCTATAGGCAAGAAGATGGAATCTTGTGTTTCCATTGTATTTCCACACATCCCTGTGAAACCAGAGCAGACCAGAATACCTATTATGTGTTAGTCACTCAGTCATGTCCAACTCTTTGGGAACCCATGGAGGCAGCCCACCAGGGTCCTCTGTCCATAGCATTCTCCAGGCAAGAACACTGGAGTGGGTAGCCATTTCCTTCTTCAGGGGATCTTCAAGACCCGGGGATTGAACCCTGGTCTCTGGCATTGCAGGTAGATTCTGAGTCACCAGGGAAGCTCATCTGGTACATACTAGGTGAAATAAATCCTTAAATACAGACTGTGGACAGAGGGAGTAGGTTCTTTCAGGACCAGCTTGAGTTAGTCCCCTGCATGCATGCAGAGATAGAATGCTGAGACCCCTGCCCTGTCACATCTCTCTAACCTCCTTTCCCTTTATTTTTCTCCCTCTTTTTCTTCCCTTCACAACCTTTCCGGAGAAGAGCCTGGAGGAAAAGGTACATGAAACAGGAGAGTGCATGTTTTTGGTGAGCAGCATATCACTAGGCTTGGGTGGAGAGGAGACAGCAGCAATAGGTTTAAAAACACAAGTGGCTACTCAGCCATTAAAAAGAATACATTTGAATCAGTTCTAATGAGATGGATGAAACTGGAGCCTATTATACAGAGCGGAGTAAGCCAGAAAGATAAACAACAATACAGTATACTAATGCATATATATGGAATTTAAAAAGATGGTAATGATAACCCTATATGCAGGACAGAAAAAGAGACACATGTATAGAACAGACTTTCAGACTCTGTGGGAGAAGGCGAGGGTGGGATGATCTGAGAGAATAGCATTGAAACATGTATATTATCAAGTGTGAAACAGATCTCCAGCCCAAGTTGGATGCATGAGACAAGTGCTCAGGGCTGGTGCACTGGGAAGACCCAGAGGGACGGGATGGGGAGGGAGGTGGGAGGGGGTATCAGGATGGGAAACACATGTAAATCCATGGTTGATTCATGTCAATGTATGGCAAAAACCACTACAATATTTTAAAGTAACTAGCCTCCAACTAATGAAAATAGATGAAAAACAAACAAACAAACAAAAAAGACAAACAAAAAAAACACAAGTGATAAGTTAGCTTCTCCATCCCAATCCCACCTGCATGTGACTTCCCAGAGAAGCAGTGTCTGGGGCACATAAAAGGGCACAAAGGGTAGACGAAGTAGGATTCTATAATTCAATGAAATGGATTATTTACTGAGCTCATTACCACCTTTGAAATTCACCAAGAGGCTGTCAGTGGTGCCACCTCCAACTCTGCAGAGAGCAAACTTAAAACAGGCCACAGTGCCACACAGGGTGCCTAGAAGGGGCCCAGGGACCAAGCATTCACAGCAGAGGTGGGTGGCAAGCAATGGTCGCAAAGTGAAGAAAACTCCCCAGGCCATGAGGATGTCCTCCATTTTCAGAGGAAGAAGCCAAGGCAATATTCCCACCTTTCAACAGTGAGCTCATTGAAGGCATTTAAGCAGCAATAGTGTCTGAATGGGCACTGGTATTCACTGAAAATTTAAGGGTTCTTGACAAATTTTACCAACACATGATAAATTAAAATTAGATGTTAATATCTTGGCCAAAGGATTTGACAACAGTGGAGTCAAAATGTGTCCTTCAAGGGAGACCCGTCCACACCATATACATTCACAAGACATATGTTAAGACAGAGGTTGGGCTTTGGGGAAGGAATAACCAGAAAGCAAATGTCTAATCCTACTTTTACTTGATGCTATGAGCAAAGCAATTCCCAAGAGAGAATAAGGCAGATAAAGTAAGCCCCCTCAATACAAACCTTCAAGTTGCAAACTTTCAAAGATGTGAACGTGCATTCGCATGTCCAATCTTGTAAGTTATGACTGAAACTACACTTGCCCTCCATCTCCTATTGTTGATGATTCTTCAGCTTTACCATCTCCCACCTCCTCTCCCTCTTATACAGCATGATATAGACGATTGTGTTAGTTGGGCACCTAGGCTAACTTTGCTGGACTTACAAATAAACAATGTATGGACACACTTTCAGAATGGAACTCATTTGTACACAGGGGATTTACTGCATTTGCTTTCTGGTGGACATCTAGAGGGCTTCCCAGGTGGCCCAGTGGTAAAGAATCTGCCTGCCAATGCAGGAGACATAAGAGATGCAGGTTTCATCCCTGGGTCAGGAAGATTCCCTGGAGGAGGGTATGGCAACCACTCTAGTATTTCTGCATGTAGAATTCCATGGACAGGGTTGCCTAGAGGGCTATAGCCCATAGGGTCACAAAGAGTCAGACATGACTGAAGCGACTTAGCACAGCATGGAGACCTAGAACTCCAGCATCTGTGTGCACCTGCCCTGGCCGGCAACCTGGCAGTTTTTCCCTAACTGATTTCAGGTCTTCTAGGAGAGGCCCAGGAAGCTGGATGCTAGCTGTTGGCACATGACAGGGAAGGTAAAGCCATGCTCAGACTCCTGATGCTAAGCCTACTGCTTGTTGCTTTCTTTCTGTCTTCACTGAAGTTAACATATACAGAAGACTAGCTTGCTTAACGGGTAACATTAATGCATTGATGAATGCAACAATTCGACAGCTCTTGCTTTATCCCAACAGGTCTTTTGTTCTGCTTACATGCATGATATCACTTTGCTTCTTCCCGCTTACTGAGCACCTACTACGTGCCAAGGTCTGAACCTGACTCTGGGGAAGGTGTACAAGACCCTCAGGAGACTTTCACTCTGACTATGGAGGCAGGGTTCACACACATAAGAAACAGGCAACTGATGATGACTGGAGTAAGGTGTTCTGAGCAATAGTGAAAGGCTGGGATGGAAGTGCAATTAGAAGGCACGAGAGTTAAACGTCAGCATGACGGAGGATGACTGAGAGTCCCTGGGCTGAGAAGGGGGCAGTGAAGAACCCCAGACAGGGAGCACAGAGGTGTGGAGTGAGGAGCATCGGTCAGAAAAGCGAATTATCCACAGTGGCTCAGAGTAACATGCTTTAGCAGCTGGCCACAGACGAGCCTGCAAACCAGCCAAAGACAGCTTGGGAAGCACTGTCCTTGGGGTTTGAACTTGAACATGTAGGCTAAAGGCCAACAGTTTCTGTACACAGCCAGATCATAAATACTTTGGTTGGACAATCTCTGCTGCAACTAGTCAACTCTGCCCTTACAGGGTAAAAGCGGCCATAGACAATATGTAAATGAAAGGGCATGGCGGTGTTCCAATAAAATTTTATTGACGGAAACAGAAACTCAGATGGATTTGGCCGGTGGCTGGATTTGCTAACCCCTCTCCTCTCAGTAGACTGACTCATAGCCACACTCCAGTCTCAAGTGATACAAACAAAGGAATCATTCTGAAACCAGGTGTGCTCCCTAAAGTATATATGGACACAGGTGTCTATTAAATTAAGACTAGATCACCACAGATCTAACCTGTAAATCTGGCATTGCGTCTGAGATGGAAAGGGTGTCTTGCAAAGGAAAATGTGAAAATCAGGGGTTGATTAATGTAAAACAGGGGCCAGCATTTTAAATGAACACCATCCATCTTCTTTTCTTTTAATATTGAAGTGAGAAGAAGGACTTGGATCAATGCCCTCATCAATGGCTAACTCCTCCCTGTCTTCTCAGAATAAAACTAACTTGCTAAATGAGAAGACAAGAAAACAACAGCAATAGCAGCAACAACAACATCAATAATGAAAACCAACCTTTCTTTCTGAAGAGGGTTTCCAAACAGAACACATACACATTCTGTGGTAATTAACAACATCCACCTCCCTTACTATGCTGAAGTTTCTGCAAACCAGAATTAAATTGAATATGTCAACTCTAAATCTCCTGTCACAGGGAATTTTGTAGCAAGTCTTCATGATGGCACAAATGTAATCTTCAGTACAGCCAGAGGAGGAACTAAGATCATAAAGAGGTTTTTCAGTAAGACAAGGACCTGCTTTAATTCACTCTAAGGCAGGATGCCCCCATGTTAAAAAGAACCATGTTCTGAACTTTTCCGTGCAATTTGAATAATTTTTCTCTCAGAAACATAGTATAAATGTGGGTTAGCGCCCAGGCTTAGCCCTGTAAAAGCTTATTTAAACCAAAAGAGAAATGAAAACAGTAGGAAGCAATGGCTTTGTAGTACCGGTAATTAAGTAAATCAAAAGCAATTATGATTAGAAAATCATTTTTTTTAAAAATCTCTTTACAAACAGAGTTAAATAAAAGATAGGGGATTCATTTTGAGATTCTCATCAGTTATAGCCCTTCCTTGCTGATTGCTTGTTAGATCCCAGACTCACCAGCTTTCCTGCTATTCTTTAAAGACTATAAGCTTGTGTTGACACTGGGCCTTAATAACTGCTGATCTATCAGTCAGAAGCAGATTTCCAATAGGTTTTTGAATGTCTAACTCCTTCTCATTTTCAAGACCTCTTGGGCCTCTCCATGAATATATAAAAGAGACCCTCCCAACCCTAGTCAGCATCTGTACTATCAGCCTGCGTCATTTTAAACAGAGAATATGAAGACATAAATTATTTACTTTACATTTGGTTTACTGGTTCACTGTCCATCTCCTTACACATAAAGTGCATGCAAGCAGAACTCTGTCTTCTATATCCTGGTAAGTGCTCAATTAAATATTTTACTGGTGAATGGACTCTGAAGGAATGTTTATATGGATGCTTTCAAAAGTTTCTTTATTTTGTTATTTTGTGATTTATTTTCTCTAATATAACTTTGAATTTTCTCTAATTCTTTAATCCCCAAACCAATGTTCATCCATTATTTGATATAGGGACCTGGACCAAGAATCTTTTTTTTTTTTTTTTAATATTTATTGATCAACACAAATACCTGGGGTATAATGGAATAATTGTGGTCAAGAGGGGGAGAAAGAAGTAGAAGAAAGCAGATTAAAAAAAAAATCAAAACTATACATTATTAATAAAAAAGAGAATATAATGTTGGCTCTACTAGCCGCATGTCTACAAAGGCATAAAAACAGGGGAGATGAAAACTAAATCTATTGAAAAGGGAAAAGGGAGGCTCTGAGAATGACAGAACAAAAATATTGCCATAGGTCCCTGGGGAGCACCAATGTCACAGTGCAGAGTCACAATTCAAAGGGGATTTTACACTGAGTAGGGAGAACTATGCTAATAAGAAGCAAAGAACAAAAAGAAGAGCAATCATTGAAAATCTACCATAAGCAAGAAACTGTGCTCTTTGTATATTTAATTATTACAACAATCTTTTGAGGTTCAAATTACATTATCCTTATTTTTCCAACCTTGGAAAATTAAATTCAAAGTTAAACAATGTAAACCAGAAAGCATTCTGTTTTATGGATCCAGATTTGAATCAAGGTTTATCTAGTAGTTTTTTTTTCCTATGATGTTTCTCCAGGAAGGACACATATTAGACGTTTATACTTATTTAGCAAACAAATAATGAACAAGTTTGGATATTTTCTTTTTAAAAAAAGTAAATTCTGCTTAATAAAATTGCTTTAAATGATAACAATATCCAGTTATTCTAGGGTCTGTGGGGCTTCACAAGCAGCTCAACAGTAAAAAAAAAAAAATCCAACTGCAGCGCAGGAGCTGCAGAAGATGTGGGTTGGATCCCTGGGTTGGGAAGATCCCCTGGAAGAGGGCATAGCAACCCACTCCACTATTCTTGCCTAGAGAATCCCCAGGACACAGGAACCTGGTATGCTACAGTCCATAGAGCTGCAAAGAGTCGGACACAACTGAAGCAACATAGCATGCACACATGCATGCATTCATTAGGGTCTGTGAGAATTTTAATCATAAAATATTTTGCACAGTGGCTGTGTTCTCCAATTGCCTCCTATAAGCATTGTCAGAGTCAGGGGGTGGGGGGCGGTGCGGGGCGGGGGGCGGCGTATGGCTGTAATAAGCAGATTCCGCAGTGAGAAGCAGGTACCACATCCTGTCCTTTCCTATTTTCATGACAAGTGAACAAACTAAACTGTTGAAAACTACTCCACAGAACCCCAAATAGGGAAATAAGAGATCAAATAGACAATGCTCTTATATAAACTTATCTGTCTCCAGCACTGAAGCTCTGCCTGAGTTTCCACACGCCGCATCGGAACTACAGCAGGCATGCTGCCCTTTTACAGGCGGGACCTAAACGGGTCCATGAAGAGAGGCAGCACCAACTTCTCTTTCCACGTCTCTGTCCTCAAGACTTGTGGTGTATCCAGTGTAACAAAGGGCAAGCAGGTGACAGATCGAACCTGAAAAACTAGCTACGGGTACTCTATGGCCTCTAACTCTAAAAATGTGTACTTAAAAATGAAGCCTTGGATTTTGGGTTTTTGAGCACTGCTTTTTTTTTTTTTCTATTTACTTAGTTTTATATCATTTATTCTCATCCTTTACCCCTGCAAAATAAGTGCAACTCAAGCTCTTTCAAAGAAACCAGGACATAAGCGAATGCATCATTTTGACAGTGGAAAATGACAAAAACATCTTTCAGTCTCTCCATACTTGGCTGATAAATGAGCCACATCAACTACAAACTCTAATACCGAGAAAAGACTAGTGAAAACAAGTGAGCCCATTCAGAATATAACTAAGAAGACAGCACAGAGTATTTGATGGTTAGACAAGGAAAAAAAGATTGATTCTTTGTTGATTTGTAAAAAATGAACAAGTAGAACATGAGTTAAATCGCAACTTAAAGCTCTCAGTTAATTACTTACTTACCCAAGGACTACCACAAAATGATGATTATGCAGCCTTTATTCCCAAATTGATTTCTAATTGTTTATTTTGTTTCTAAAACAGGTAGTGTAAAAATCTTACATCTATGGAAATTAGCAAAACATACAAATAATGCATATAAAACAAGTTCAGACTTACACCCCTTTGCTTAACACTATGTTTTACCTAATAACAATATTAAAAATAACTTTTAAGGATGTTTAAAAAATTATGATGTTTATATACATAAATATCAATATTACAAATGAGTTTTTAAAGTTTAAATATAAAACTGATGAAAATAATCAGAAATCTCAGTAAAAATAAACCCTACAATTTCCAAGAGAATGAATCACTAGAAGCCTAACTTGTGCCATTATAGAGCTTTGGGACTAAAAATATTTAAATCAATGAGGCAAAATTCTCCTAATTTTTCTGGGAATTCAATAAAATAGACAAGGTCATATGGCCAGTTCTGGTCTATGAAATATGGATAAAAATAATGAAGTCTTTTCAGGACCAAGGCAGTGTAAAGCCCTATATGACTCTCCAAGACCTCTTATCCTGCAGGGAAGGTGGATACCTAGTTTCAAGATGGTGGAGTCATCGTATTGAATCAGCTTTGTAAACAGCTATCTGCAGTCTTCTCCAGGATCTGCAGAAAACTCTTATAAGGAAGAGAGAAAGGCTATTATTAATCCATCAAGATTTCAGTTATTTGTTATAAAAGCACAACCTCTCCCATCCCTTTCAACTGCTATTGCATATTTACAACTGTGTTAGCAATCTTTTTCAGGCTCAGATATCTACCTTTGTGAGATATCTAGATTTCTAGAAGCTACAGACAAAATAAGCTTTGGCAAAATGTATAAAAAGTCCTATTTTCCATAGCAGAAACTAACACAACATTGTATAGCAACTCAACTCTGATAAAATTCTTTAAATGTCCTATTTATTTCTTTATCATATCTGAGATACGTTATCCTGATTTCTGATAGATCTTAAGTGAGTAATAAAACAAATGAATCCTGGGATTTTTTTTCTTACTCCAAGAGAAACGTTTCATTTTATTTTTTTCATAATATGAATTCTTTATTGGGTTAAATGACCATTAACAGAGAGTGTTTTCAATCACAAAGCAACAAGACTTACTGGTTCTAAGAGGTCAGGAAATTAGGAAGTTGAAAAAAAGGAAAAAATACAAATCTAAGAAAACACAGTCAATTTTCCCGTTGAAAATTGGAAAGTGTAAGTTAAGTGTGAACGAGGCATAAGTCTTGGACACTTAAGAGATGGAGAAGAATTTAGAGACCATCAAATGCAACATCTCCAGCTGCAGATGAGAATATGAAGGCTCAAATTATACAGCCTTTTCAATTTCCTAGTTAAGTTTCTACAAAGAAAGAGGTCTGTTTTTTATGTTGTTGACCACCATTTATCTAAGTTCCCTTCTTTGTAGCGGGTGCTAAGAATTGATATTTGAATAACTGATCTAGATTTTATAAGTGTGCAGGACCTTAAAGTATTATATTTATACATTTTTCTTAGTTTTTTTTTAAATACTTATTTTCCTTTTCTTGAGTCTTCTTCCTTTTTGTCTTGTCATTCTTCAGTTTCATTACACTGCTGCTAAGTCACTTCAGTCATGTCCGACTCTGTGCAACCCCATAGACGTCAGCCCATGGGGCTCCCCAATCTCTGGGATTCTCCAGGCAAGAACACTGGAGTGGGTTGCCATTTCCTCCTCCAATGAGTTAAAGTGAAAAGTGAAAGATGTCGCTTAGTCGTGCCCAACTCTTAGTGACCCCATGGACTGCAGCCTACCAGGCTCCTCCATCCACAGGATTTTCCAGGCAAGAGTACTGGAGTGGGGTGCTATTGCCTTCTCTGTCAGTTTCATTATAAGCCATTTCAAATGCTTTCTGTAATTAGATAGTTGTAAATAAATTAACAGAATTAAATAATTTCAAAGATCCCCTCCAATTCTGACATTCTGTTTTTCCAGGAAGAGGAGAGCCAAAAAATTTTAGATATTAAGTTTGGAAAGTGAAAATGTTAGCCACTCAGTATGTCTGACTTTTTTCGACCCCATGGACTATAACCTGCCAGACTCCTCTGTCCATGGGATTTCCCAGGCAAGAATACTGGAACAGGTTGCCCTTCCCTTCTCAGGGAATTTTCCCAACCAAGGGCTCGAACCTGGTTCTCTCACATTGTGGGCAGATTCTTTACCATCTGAGCCACCAGGGAAGTCCAAGTATTAAGTTTACTCCAAAATATGAGCTTCTGCAAAGCAAGCAGGGCTTCCCTAATGCCCCAGGCAGTAAAGGTTCTTCCTGCAATGTGAGAGACCCAAGTAACCATCCAGATAGTGTTTAGTCCTGCATTTGGACATCATGAAGATGCTCTGACAGCCCACTCATCCACTTTATCACAGTTCTTCTAGAGACAGTGCTTTCATCCATGATCATCAGGGATTTATCATAGAATAATCAATAATCAGTAAGTGACAAGAATCTAGAGATGGATTCCCTGGGTTCAGACCGATAAGCTTGACCATGTACAAAATGTCTCACCTTGAGCAAATTATTTAACTTTCATATGTCAAATGAATATAGCGACAGAAAATTCCTATTTGGGGAATATTAAATGAGAAAACAGACAAAGTGTTTTAAAATGATGTCTGGAACTGCCCAGTAAACATTAGCTCTTATCGTTAGTAGAAGATTATGAGTCTCAGGTCTTTCTCTTTGATTCTACATATATCACCAGGCTGCAGCAACCCACTTGCATACCTTCAGTTCCTATTTATAGGGAAATGTCTCTAGCCAGGACACCTCTGCTGAGCCTGAGACTTAAAATCTGCAAACCCGCCTTCTCCTGGCACTAACCTCTAGGTGTTCAGCCTTGTCATGTTCAGAAGTGAGTTCTTTATCTTTCTCTATCAGTCTTGGCCTCTTTTTATTTTCTCTGTTATCACTGAATGATAACACCCCTCCCCTGGGTTCAGCTGCTTCATGGGAAACAAAGAGTCACTCCTGCCTCTTCATTTTCCCCCACTGCCTGTAATATACAACAGTATATTGTGGCAAACCTTTGACAAGAGTCTCGCCTTTACCAAATTCCAGCCAGTCTCCTCTGAGCCCTCTTCTCACACACCAAAGCTTCAACTTCAGCCTATAAAGACGTGAACAAACACAAAAGCAGTCTGAGAACAGTTTAAGACTGCATCCTTAGGATGACTCTACCCCCCTTCAAACACCTGCCTAAGAAAACTAAGGGCTGCCCAAACAAGCTATATCCGAAGATGGGGCCCAGTCTTCCAGCCTCTGCAAGGATAAAAGCATATCTTTGGGATCTTCCCAATCCAGGGATCAAATCTCAGAATCCTGCATTGCAGGCAGATTCTTTACAAGCTGAGCCACAAGGGAAGTCCAACTTTGACAGCCACCAGTTAGCACATCCAGATGGTTTCACATGGATCAAACCACATTCAGGTCCTTAAATTTGCTCAGGAGCCCGCCACTCCCTCTCCCTCATATAAACACCCAGTCATCGCTGCACAAGTAGGAATGGAGGGCAGTGCTTTCCCCACTGTCAGCTGCCGAATAAAATCAAAAGATTTAGTTAATGTCCAGCTGTGTGTCTTTGATACCCTCTTAGTTCTACCATCTAAGCCTCACTCAATTCCATCCATGCTTCTCCATTCCTTCACTGCAGTGTTGGTCACCATTGCCTCTCACCTGGACTACTGCAGCGGCCTCCTAAAGAGGTCCTGGTCCCCAGT